TGGTCTCACTGTGATCATCGGGTTTCCCCACGGCAAATTCCATCGTGCCCCGTTCAGCCCCAGCACACCTTCCTGGTGCTATAACTGGAGATAACAGCGTGCTGGGGAAATTTTTTTTTTTTTTTTTTTAAGTAGGTTAGAAGATTCAGCCAAAAAGAAAAGGAAATAAAAGGCTGTGAGGTAATGGTTCTGTGGGTGAAGCATGCGTATTTTTAAGGGTAGGAGTGTGGGTTGTGAAATGAGGAAAGTCAAATGTAGGTAACTCTCAATGTTACCTACAGAAACTGTGTATCTGCTGTGCTCTAGTTTAATAAACCCAGCTTGGGGGCAGAGGGATGTGGGTCTAACCCAGACAGATTCATTTCAGTATGGCACGCTCACAGGAGCTGGGTAACTATCTGCAATGATACCAAAACACTACATTAACATTTACTTGTTGGCCAACGCCATAACATCACGCTTTCCAGATTACTGCTTTCTGTGCTCTAGGTTGTAATATTGGTGGGCACATGTGAGCAACATTGCATATTCATGGAAATGGGTTTTTCTGGAGTTTCTCTTACCATATATTCACTGCCATCACTTTCTGCCAGTTTGTTACACACCTGAACTATTTCATCTAAAACAGAGTTATCTTAAAAGCAGCTTGAAGTGGGGTCTATATTTTCTACTGAATCTGTACTGTCCAGAACGTATCAATGCTGTGTGTGAGCAATAGCTGTATCTTGTTACTTTCCCATGCCTAACTGTACCCAAGTATTGTGACTCCTGAACATTCACCTAAAACACACACAATCTTAAAATCACCTCACATGGCTCGGAAGAAACCCCCGGAGAGAGGCTCTGCCATCACTGCAAATACACTGTTTGAGCTGCTACGGAAGGCTGTTACTTTCCAATGCCGTTTAGTGACCTGTGTGAGGTGAATGCAATGGCTGCAGGCCATGCCCCGGTCAGCTGGTGTACACAGGAGCTGCTACCAGCTCCACGTAGATATAGAGTAACCTGAGCTTTAAGTAGCTTCTTGTAAGTTAGAGCTCAGGGGCACGGTCATAGTCACTTCATAATTACATACCTTCTGTTCTTTGCAGGCTGCCAGTACTTCTCACAAATGGTGTGTTCCTATTATTTCTTCCTAGAAATGTAAAAAATTCAAACTCTAGAACAATTGTTATTCAAAGAAATTAATTTATTTATATCATAGCCAGAATTTAGGGAAGCTCGTACGGCTGGGGTGTGTATGAGTGGCCTTGCAGCACGCATGGTGTCACAGATGGTGGAGATGCTTCTCCTCAAAGCCACTATCATAGGCCAAGGGACAGGGGAAGAGGCAATAAAGATCCCATGCCCTGATGTACTCTGCTTTTTTCAACTGCTTTGTGGATCGTAGTGAAATGCCGTTAAAATACATAAAGATCTGTGCTCTCAGTATGGAGCTATTTCTGACCTGTTTTAAGGACGATCTGTCAGCGTTAGGCAATGCTACAAAATAGCTAACTAGAATGACAACATCTGAAATGACAGAAGTTCGGCTTGATAACTTTTTCCTTTCCATAAAGATAAGAACAGTTAAACATGAATCACTTATAACTATTTCTGGATTGACAGGTACCAAGAAGCATCAGGTTGGCAATAAGCAATTCTTGATCTTCCCCATCAGCACCACTTCATTTTTTTTTTTTTGACTGCCTGTCTGGTAACAACCTGGGATTTTTGTTTACTTATCTTTTAAGCAGGAGTTCACACCATCCAGTCTCTATCAACCATCTGCCTTTAAGAAGCTATGAAAATTAGGCACTGGGCTATCAATCTGCATTCCTCCACTTCCACCTTGCCATTTCACTCTAATGTTGATACTAGCAAAGTCTCCAGCTGCTTTAGAAAGAGAACTTTCCAAGACTCTCAAGATTGTAACCATATATTCTTATCCATGGATTAGTATCAAGAGTATTAAAAGCACTAGGTAAACAATAATTTTTAAAATTGTTAACAAAACCTTCTGAAAGAGATCAGTTTGTCTGCTGTCCTGCTAATGTACATATTTCTCCCTAAATTCACCTCTCCCTCATTAGTCTGATACTTGAGACATAACTGATTGGGATGATCATAATGTTTGTTGGTTAGGTAAGCTAATACCTTAACTGGCTAATAAAAACACTACTTTTATTAGCAATATTGCTTCATTCACAATTATATCACTTCAAGTAATACTGAATTACAATTCTATTGCTTACTCTTACTATTGATGCAGTGGTTGCATTCATATACCAGTTACATCCCTTCTTACTCCCCACTCCTGCACTGTCTTTCAAACCTAGACCTGGTAGAGAGTCTGGTGGGTTGTCCACAGGGGTTGCCTCCAGCATCCTGGGCAGCTTGGGCCCTCAGGCCGGCTTCATCACTGCCCAAGGCAGCCACACTCCTTCTGTCACAAGATCCTCCCATTTCTTGCTCTCCTCCTTCATTGCTGTCCTTCATTTTCTCCCTTTTCATTTTTTTATGGACGGCAAGATTGGGTCCAGAGGGGCAAAACCCTTCCCACTGTAATGGAAGACCAGTTTCAGGACCACTGAGAAACCTGAACATACATAAGTCTAAGTGACCTGACTAGATGCATCCCAGAGTCCTGAGGGAATTGGCTGATGTCATTGCCAAGCCACTCTCCATGATATTTGAAAGGTCATGGAAGTCAGGCAAAGTACCTAGTGACTGGAAGAAGGGAAACATTGTGCCCATTTTTAAAAAGGGTAGGAAGGACGACCCTGGGAACTAAACTACCAACCTGGCAGCCTCACCTCTGTGCCTGGGAAGATCATGGAGCAAATCCTCCTAGAAGCTATGCTAAGGCAGATGGAGGACAGGGAGGTGATTTGACACAGCCAGCATGGCTTCACCAAGGGCAAGTCCTGCCTGACAAACCTAGTGGCTTTCTGTGATGGCATGACTAGATCAGTGGACAAGGGAAGAGCTATGGATGTGATCTATCTGGACTTCTGTAAAGCCTTTGACACACTCCTTCACAACATCCCTCTCTCTAAACTGAAGAAATATGGATTTGATGGGTGGACTGTTCGGTGGCTAAGGAATTGGTTGGAAGGTCGCAGCCAGAAGGTAGTGGTCAATGGCTCAATGTCCAAGTGGACGCCGGTGACAAGTGGTGTCCCTCAGGGGTTCATACTGGGACTGGTGCTGTTTAACATTTTCATCAATGAATTAGACAGCGAGATTGAGTGCACCCTCAACAAGTTTGCAGAAGACACCAAGCTGAGTGGTGCAGCTGACACATCAGAAGAACAGGGTGCCATCCAGAGGGACCTGGACAAGCTGGAAAAGTGGGCCTGTGCCATGAGGTTCAACCTCATGAGGTTCAACAAGGCCAAGTGCAAGGTCCTGTATCTGGGTTTGGGCAACCGCCGTTATCAATAAAGGCTAGGGGCTG